AAGAGCTTGACAAGGATAAGGAAACTAGCAAAGTCAGCAAGCCGGCGCTCTCGCAGCCCCTCTGCACCGCCATCCAGATGGCCCTTGTGGAGCTGCTGCGCACCTGGGGCATCATTCCCCGCGCGGTGGTTGGGCATTCGTCGGGTGAAGTTGCGGCGGCGTACTGTGCGGGTAGACTGGATCGCGAAAGTGCATGGCGTGTGGCTTACTTCCGCGGTGTTGTGGCCGAGAAGCTGGCTTTTGACTCGGCGAGGGAGTCAACGACGATGATGTCGGTGGGTCTAGGCAGGGAGTCTGTCCAGGAGTACCTGAAGGCCGAGCCAGCCGTGACGGTGGCATGCGAGAATAGTCCTGTTAACGTCACATTGTCTGGCCCGACAGCGGCAATTCTACGTTTATCTGAGACGTTGGACGCCGATCAAGTTTTTGCGCGGAAGCTGCCTGTGGCAATCGGCTATCATTCCGAGGCGCTGCGTGATGGCGCAGTGGAGTATGAGGGTTTCCTGGCCGGGATATGCGCGCCAGTGCAGGATGGTAAGGAACCAAATAGGGTCGCCTTCTTCTCATCCACCGAAGGCAGCTTCATCACGCTGGAGAGTCTTGCAAGTCCAAGCTATTGGGTGAAGAACCTGCTCTCGCCAGTTCTCTTCACCGATGCCGTAACATCGCTTGTCAGCGAGCGGAAGCAAGTCACCAGGTTTTTCGTCGAGATCGGACCGCAATCTGCTCTCCGGCGGCCTGTTAAAGACATCCTCACACACCTAGGCGAANGTGAGGATAAATGGTCGTACGCCGCTGTACTCAATCCCCGTCAACCCGACATATACTCCCTTCTCGAAACTGTCGGTGCCCTCTGGAGCATCGGCCTCGCCATCGACCTCAACAAGCCCAACCAAGCCACTCTCCAGCCCGCAACCCAGCCAAAGCTTATCACCGACCTTCCCTCATATCCCTTTTCGCGTGCCAGGCAGTACTGGGACGAACCTCGCATCAGCGCCCTCTACTCGCACCGGCCCTTCCGACGACACGCCCTCCTCGGCCTACGCGAAAACGACTTCAACTCGGCCCAACCAACCTGGCACCACAAAATCCGCCTCGCCGAAGCCCCTTGGATCCTCGACCATGCGCTCGAAGGCTCGCCGCTCTACCCCGGCACTGGCATGCTCGTCATGGCCATCGAAGCCGCGCGACAGCTGCTCCCGCCAGACACGGCCATTAGCGGGTATAAGCTCGAAAACGTGCGGTTTATGCGCTCCATCCCCGTCAACGAAAGCGAAAAGGGGACCGAGGCGAAGATCTACCTCCAGCCACGCCGGCACACGGCCAAAGACGCAGCACAGCGCGTGTACGACTGGCGGGTGTTCACGCTCGGCGGCGACGAGTGGATTGAGTGCGCGTTTGGCAGCATCCGCGTCGAGCTTGAGAGCGAGGCCTCGCCCGAGACAGACGCACGCAAGGCCCGGTGGGCGAGCAGCGTGGGCAAGGAGCACGCAAGCGCGGCAGCACAATGCACGTTGAATGTACAGAGCGAGCAGCTGTACGAGAACCTTAGCAAGAAGTCGGGCTTCGACTACGGGCCGTACTTCCAGGGTCTGCGGGATATCCGCTACTCCCGCAATGGGTGTGCGACGGGAACGCTTGCGCTACGGGACTACGCGAAGACGATGCCGTACGCGAGCGAGGACGCTTGCGTTATTCACCCCACGACGTTTGACTCGGTCTTCCATGTGGGGTTTGTCTCGCTAAGCATGGGTGGGTGGGAGCCAATCCCCACGCTCATGTTCAGCAACCTCCGCGAGCTGTGGGTTTCGCATAAGCTGTTCACGCTGCCCGGCAACCCGCTGCTGCACGTCGCGACAAAGGAGATAGCTCGAACATTTAGGGAGTTTGAGTGGGATGCGTCCACTCTGCTGGCCGAGACGGGGGAGCCTGTCATCGTCGCCAGGGGCGAGCGTGGAACTGTCATCGCTGGCGCCGGAAGCAGCGCGCGTAGTGACGACGACGGTGCCAGTCGCTTCTCCTATGGCATTGATTTCCAGCCCGACCTCTCGCTGCTGGATGCGCCCGAGACCGAAGCCCATCTCAAGGCCCTCTACGCGTCTGACCCGCAATTCTCGCCGGATCCCAAGGACGCAGAGGCTGTCGACCGTGCCGACGCTATTGCGCTGTATTATATTGAGCAAGCCCTCGATAACATTGACAACGGCGAACCGCTGACTTTCGACAACCACTTGACCAAATACGTGGATTTCCTACGCAAGGTTCGCGCCAACAGGAACAAGTATACCTTGGCGTCGCGAGGGTTAGCGCATTTGGATATTGAGCAAGTTTTGCGTGAGGCGGACGGAGAACCAACGCAGAAGCTGGTGAAAAAAGCTGGTCAACATCTGTATGGTATCTTAGCAGGGACGGACAATGCCTTGCAGATCATCTTTGAAGGCAATCTTGCCAATGGTAAGTCCAACAAATCATGCTGCACGAGGGTGACGACAAGACTGACACGGTGGATGTATAGACTTCTACCACTGCGACTTCTACTCGCGTCATTACCGCAAGGCCGGCGCCTATATGAGGATGCTAGCACATGCAAATCCCCAACTGAGGATCTGCGAAGTCGGTGCGGGAACTGGCAGTGCCACGAGCAAGGTGCTGCCGTTTTTGGTTGATACGGAGGGTCTTGACGGTGATCGGCTGGTCCGGTATGTTGATTTAGCCATCTCCCTCCTCTCTCCCCTACTGACTCCCTCCTTCCAGCTTCGGCGAGTACGCCTACACCGATGTATCTGTCGGTTTCTTCGAGAAAGCACGCGAGAAATTCTCTTTTGCTGAGAAATACATGCGCTTCGCCAAACTCGACCTCGAGGTCTCACCCTCCCTTCAAGGCTTTGAACTCGGTAGCTACGATGTGTTACTGGCCTGTAACGTGATCCATACCACATCAAATCTCATACAGTGCCTCCGTGACCTCCACGCCCTGCTGCGTCCCGGTGGCAAGCTCATCATGATGGAGACTACCGTCGACAATATCCGCGACGGCATCATCTTCGGCTTGCTGCCGGGGTGGTGGATGCGCGAGGGCCATTGGTGGGACGGTGAGCAGGTTGACGCTGTGCCCGGAGAGGACGAGGCACTGGGGCCTATTCTCACTGAGGACGGATGGGATGCTGCGTTGAAGACGGCGGGTTTCTCTGGTGTGGATATGGTGTTTAGGGATAACGAGTACAAACCTCGCCATCGCGTCTCAACGCTCGTCACAACAAGGCCAGAGGAGGTTGAAGTTGAAGCTGCGCGCGAGCACTGGGTTATCCTTGCGGATTCTACACAGACTGTAAATGCTGATGCGCTGAAGGCGAAGCTCGCTGCCGTGCCATGGATCGACGAGACAGATACATACACTCTCGATGGAGTCGTTACAGCTGAATTGGAGCTGAGCAGAACGAACATTATCAGCCTGCTGGAGGTCGACACGTCNCTCTTCGGAACGATCACAGGTCCGCAATTTGAAGCTCTCAAAAAAATCAGCTTGGATGCTAAGAAGGTCATCTGGCTCACGCGGGGCGGCAGCCCTGGCGCTGGCAATCCTGCCGCCGAGATGGCAGTCGGTTTTTCGAGAAGTATCTGCTCTGAGCGGGGTGACCAGGCCTTCGTCACCCTGAGCTTGGATACCGATGACTTTATTAAAGGAACGAGCCATGTGCTACGTCTTCTTGAGCACTTCCACAAGACAGGAAGCAAGAGGGCAGATGCGGAGTCCGAGTATACAGTGCACAGCGGCCTCATCCACATCCCGCGCATCGTCCCACAAAGGAGCGTCAATCAGACCCTCGCCGCGCGCGCAAAGCTCCCTGACAAACTCAGCTTCACGCTGGGTCAGGCCACCCCTAAACCACGCATAAACCTGACCATCCAACAGCCCGGCCTCCTTGACACTCTCTACTACACCGAAACCCCAACTCGCAGTACCCAGCTGCAGCCCGGCGAAGTCGAGATCGAAGTAGCAGCTGCCTCTCTGAATTTCCGCGATGTAATGATTGCTTTGGGCCAGGTACCCGGCGACGGACTCGGCCTTGAGGGCTCAGGCACTGTCACCCGCGTTGGACCAGGTTGTACAACCTTGCAGCCTGGTGACCGCGTCATGTACTTCATATTCTCAACGGGTGGCTGCTGTGGAACCTACGTGCGCTGCGACGAGGCGTCGACACGTAAAATCCCACGTGAGGACATCTCCTTCTCAGACGCGGCTGCTATTCCTGCAGTGTGGGCTACGGTTGTGTATGCATTTGATTACGTGGGCCGGCTGCGGAAGGGCGAAAGCGTACTGATCCACGCTGGTGCTGGTGCGGTAGGACAGGCAGCTATTCAACTCGCGCAGCTACGCGGAGCAGAGATCTTCGTCACAGTAGGAAGCAAGTGGAAGCGTGAACTAGTGAAAGAGCTTTACAGTCTCGCGGAAGACCACATCTTCAATAGCAGAGATGCCAGTTTTGTCGACGACGTGTTCCACGCCACAGCCAACCGCGGCGTCGACGTTGTCCTCAACTCCCTTGGCGGCGAACTCCTTCAACACTCGTGGCGTTGCACCGCGCCCTTTGGCCGCTTCATCGACATCGGAAAAGCAGACATCCTTGCCAATAATACACTTGAGATGGGCCACTTCCTCCGCAACGTCACCTTCGCGGCCATCGATGTCGCGGGAATGTACGCCGAGAACAAACCGCTCATGCAACTCGTGCTCGACGACGTGTTCAGTCTATTTGCAGCGAATCCTGGGTTGCACAACCCCAAGCCGCTGCATGCGTTCGCGCCGAGTAGGATCGAGGAGGCAATGCGCGCTTTGCAGGGTGGCAAGATTGCTGGTAAGGCGGTTATTGATTTCCAGACACCGGGTGATGTGGTGGAGTACCAGCCCGCGCGGATGCCAACGTACGGGTTCGAGGCGCAAGCTACGTATGTTATCAGCGGTGGATTGGGTGGCTTGGGGCGGGAGATCATGCGCTGGATGGCCTCTCGCGGCGCACGGCATTTCCTCGTCACCTCGTCGCGAGGTGTAGCTGGGCGCGCCGATATAATCGCCTTCATCGAAGAAATGGAAGCCCAAGGCATCGTGGTCCACGCGCCAGCGTCGGATGTCTCCAACCGCACTGTCCTCGAGGCCACCCTGAAGGAGGCTAGCAAGATATTGCCACCGATCAAAGGCTGCATACAGGCAGCAATGGTGCTGTCGGACAATATGCTCTCCAATATGACCGTCGAGCAATTCTACCGCGCCCTAGCACCCAAGTACCAAGGCTCTTGGAATCTCCACGAGCTCCTGCCGAAGGACATGGACTTCATGGTCTTCCTGTCTTCTATGAGTGGCGTCATCGGCAACCCTGCGCAAGCCAACTACGCAGCTGGCAACACTTTTGAGGACGCGCTTGCGCGGCACCGCGCTGCCAATGGACTAAAGGGCGTCTCGTTCGATCTCGGCTTGGTCTTGGAGGCCGGGTGGGCGAGCGACAACTTTGAAGACGTGACGAAGAGTTTGCGCGCTGGGCTGGGTGGAATGACGCAGAAGCAGCTGATGGCAATTTTGGACGTCCTATGCGATCCAAGCTATGACTGCACAGGTGGCGGAGCGCAAGTGCTGAATATTCATGATAAGCCTGTGAAGCTGTACAGAATGTTCCAGGATGGTGTATTGCACTGGGCAGGCAAGCCATTATTCAAGAACATTCTTCGTTTGGGTCAGGTAGAGCTGGTCAACGGCGCCGGAGGTGGGAGCGACGGTGAGGCAACGGCAGTCGACTACCTGGCGCTCATCAGGGCGACGGCTGATGCCGAAGAGGCTGGGCAGATTGTCACAACAGCATTGCTTGGGAAATTGAGCAAGTCTTTGTCGGTACTGGCGGAGACTCTCGATGTGGGCAAGCCGGCGTACGTGCTTGGTGTTGACTCGCTCATCGCGGTCGAGCTACGATACTGGTTCCTCAAGCAGTTTGGAGTCGAGGTCCCGGTGTTTGTGATTTTGAAAAAGCAGCCGACTGTTGAGTTGTGCCAGCATGTGGCAGATCAGGTCATGGCGGCCAAGTGAGTTTGGTCATGGCTTTGATGTGTGGAGGAGAGAGGTCAAGGTACTAGATGAATTGTCGTCAATCATCAAGTGTATAGTCCAGGGTGCGGCCCCACTTCACTTCCGCCAAGATTAGGGCTTGGGCAACGCCCAAAGCCGTTCACGCGGTCCTGTACATGATAATAACGTCCTCTATCGAATGCTGGGATACATAAAACGTAAATTGAATGTTCTACCTCTCCCTTATGCGCGCACGTACGAAAAGGGCAGACTGGGACCTATTTAGAGAAGAGCTAGACAAAGCTATACAGAACAGCGTAGCTCTGCAATCTCTAGATCAGATTAACCAACCAAGAAAAGCAGATTCAAGAAATCTACTCCTAGGCCAAGATAACGAGCTTAAGCTGCAACTAGACGCAATTGGAGAAGCTATTACGCTAGTAATCCAACAAGCTGCAGATAAAGCTATTCCACAACTAAAACAAGGGCCAAAAGCAAAGCCCTGGTGGAGCCAGGAGTTAACTAAGCTAAGAAAAAACGTATCGCATTGCCAAAGGATATTCGTACAACAGCTACAAGCTAC